TGTTTCTTTTTTTTGTTTTGTTTTGTTTGCTTAATTTCTTTTATACTTCGTTCTAGCTTTATTATAGTATTTGAATAGAACATGTGGCAACGATTAGATAATTCTTTAAATGATATAAATTTTGTGCATTCTGAGTTATAATATGAACGAAATATAATACTGTTAAGTGAACCTAGCGCCAGAGTGTCGCTATGGTAAACAAATAGAGTGAATTTTAAAGAATACATTTATTCTGTTGTTGTTTATGCGTTGTCGGCGAAGTAGATTTGATTCAATCCAATAAGTTTAAACGAAATGCAAGAAAAAAAAGCGTATAATTTAATATTCCGTACAATGAAGTCATGTTGTGTAAGCATCAGATTTTATTTTTTCAAATAGTCGGGCGCTTTATTTAATAGCTTTTAGCCTTGCGCCAGCACAAGGGCCGGAGGTGGCGGCGATTTCATTATGGAAGTACCTAATATGGCCACCGCTGCTTCCTATGAAGGATGGATAATTACAACCATGGCTTCTCCGGGATTCGAATCCGGGCCCATCGCTACGGCAATCAGGGTCACTAACCACTACACCTAAGCGGGCAAAAATGTGCAATACCCTCGCCGGGATTTGAACCTTAGTCCTCTCGAATACGCGTCGAGTAAGATTCCAAATACACCACAGAGGCATGCGTAACGTAAATACAAACTAGTTTCACTAAGAAAGAACTCTACGTATATTTCCTTTCCATCTGTAGGTCGCTGGGGACTAGTGTTTTTGACGGTAACGTTCGGTTTACTTTTATTTTGATAACCTGTACATTTACGCTCACGAGCAGCAATCGCTTGAATTTATTTCGCTTGAATAAATGGCATATACTTAGGCACTTATCAAGACAGAAATTGTTATATTTAATAAATAAGGAAAGCCTAAGTAACATTCAGTAACCTAAAGTGGAAAGGACATGATGCCAACATTAATTATTTTTCGCATTTTCCCGCCGTAATAGGTCTTGCAGCGAATATTTTGTTCAGTTTCTTGCTGTCTGTCTGAAGTAGAGAAACCTCTTTTTCCTTAAGATGAGATATTATTCCTTCTTAGAACTCACCCTCAATCGGAAACCATTAGCCTACTCTTTTCATTTTCATCATTTGTCTATGTTACGTTAAACCAGCGCAGCACAATTTTTCTATTAATGCATTTTACAAATCGGATGGCAGATCGCTATTTCTGAGAGATCTCACTGCTTATCTGAGAGAACAAAAGTTAGCACTAGCCATCTTAAAGAAGCTTAAAGATGGCTAATGCTTAAAAGAGAGCAGTTTAAATATGCATTGTAGATGACACCTGCACATTTGTTTTGGGTATAAAATAGTGAGCTAGTACATAAAACTCCTCGAAATAAAGAGAATTAATAAAAAAATAATATAACTATTTCTTAATGATTTATATTCTTGTTACTTCCTCGTATGAAGTAAAGAAAAGTATTGTAATCGCGAAACATCGGTTATCTCAACTGAAATATCCATTTTAATCGTTCCCGAATACATTTTGAGGATTTCTTTTTGTGGCATCTGTACGGTCAGAACAAAGGACTCTTTCCATCAAAACGGATTGTCGGATGGATTTAAAATGAATTCAAAGAGGATTTCTTCGTGACTTTACGTACATACGTACGTATATATTTTGCGTAAAAGCAGAAAAGCGATTAACCGTAGAAGTTTGATGTTTTACATATGGGACTACTATAACATCTAATTGTGCACCTCCCCTTTTATTGTAATCGGCAAGACCAAACACAACGTCCGGCCTTTTTTTCCGCAATCTTTACTCGTAGTCGTATACTTCCAATTCAGAAATGTTTTAAAGGGCGAAAATATTAATGTTTTGGCAATGTCAAAACAAAAAAACAAAAACAAAAAAAAATTTTTTTTTTTTTGGCAAATCACGAAATCTAATTTTTAACGCGGTCTGTCGGTTCCTATATTTATATTTGGGGAAGTCTCATACTTGTTATGAAAACAAATTATAAGATGTTTGACCCTCGTACGATAAAAATTGAGCGGAATGTTTAATTTCAAAAATTTAAAAAATTTTGATGTCATTTTCAATTTGCCTCGAGGGATCGGTTATTTAAGTTAGAATAATTCGAGGAAAAAAGTTTAAATGAAGTGCTGTAAGAAATTTGTATGATTTTTAACAGGCCATGCAAAGACGTCATGTAGTGTCCACATCTGATATTTTAATAATGTATTTTTTTTATGAAGTTTGCAATACGCACACTAATAACTATAATAAATAAAAATTATTTATCAAACACGTTTATAACGTTTAATACCACGCACTGACAAACTGCAGCTCTCGAGCTGTCTGATACTCATTCGCGAAGCGTTTTTATTAAATGCCGCTCATGGTAAAAAAGCAGTAATTTTCTTTTCGAAATATAATAAATATAATAATAATAAAAAAATAAATAAAAGTCCGAAAGGCTTCAGATTTTAAATTACGTCCAAAGGGGTGTTTTTTTAACATTTTGCCTGTTACCTTTATTCATTAAATATTATATCACTTAGGCCAAAAAATTCAGTTCAAGAGCAATATCGCAAAATAATTTTAAATTGAGCATATCTTTAGAATTTCTAATACACAGTCTCGCGCGCTGGAGAGAAAAGTGTTTTCCTGTACAACGTTGCCTCTACTCGCTTTGAAATCCTTGAGTTTTTTAATCAGAAATTCGTTAAAGTTTTACAAAATATGAAGTCGATCATAAAACAAATTCTAAATTTTAAATTTGGGCTTCCACATGTCCACATGCCTATATTTGCAGTAGGATTACGTCATTCAAAATTCGATGGCTCTATGTAACCTTGCTTTATCACAATGCGAGAAATATTGCAGATATTTCATCATATATTTATGCAGATTTTTCATTATTTAATTTCTTCAAATATAATGCAGAACTCTAACATTTGGTGGCAACAGTTTGAAAAGTGAAACGGACAATAATGAACTAACGCAAAATCGCAAAACGAAAACATTAGTAGGGACAAAGCCCTTTTGGACTAATAAACCATATTGTGGCAGGCGTTCTTAAAATCTGTTGTTTTAACTTTTAAATTGCATCATGTGTATGAAAATTTTAAAATAGTTTTAAACTGCACAACATGTGCTAATCGTTAAAATTAGTATTTTATTTCTTCAAATTGTGTCATTCATATTATATTTGTAAATGTAAATGTACTTCGCACTGTATATTATTCATTAAATTAATGAAAAACCAAATGATATCAATTCTGCAATTTATTATCATGAAGATGCTAATTTTAGATCAAATACTAGCTATTTAAACTTATGAAGTTAAGGAATAATATCTTGCGTTCAGATATACATCAAATATTATTCAACAAAACTCTTATGTAGCCGTAACTTTGCACTGAAAATACAAAAGATTTAGTTTGCAAGCGATGAATTACCTAAGCAATTTAAGGCCGGATGTAATCTATCTATGTTGGTCTTCATAGATGGACCTCAAAAATTAAATTCTTACTTTTAATGTCACATCTTTCAAAAACTGGGAGACGTTCTTTAATAATTTTTTTATATCGAATAAGAATTTTTTCATAGCACGTGCTCTTCCGGTTTCGCTCTCAAAAGAAATGGGTATGGAGTAAGAATGAAAAAAAATCTAGTTTTTAAATGTTTTGGTTTTTAACTCATTGCATTACTCTTCGCCGGATTGAAACGTTTTCTGTTTTATTACAAAGTTCACTCTCTGTTTCCTTTTTGTATGCCCATAACAGGCGTATTGATAGAATAAACATTAACTCGCCTCCAAGTTCGCTGTACTTTTGATGATCGAAAAAACAATAGTGCTATTATACCCAAAATGAACTATTAGTTGCATAATGGGATTTCGCTTTGGTTCGTTATAAACGACATATCACCTTTCAAACTGTTACATCCAAATATTATTCCCCAGTATTATTTTTATTGAAGAAATTAAATAATGAAGAATCTGCAAGAATGTATGTATGTTCCTCGCATTGTGGGAAAAAAAAAAGATGGATCTACGGCCATCACATTTTGAATAACGTAGTTCTCCAACCGAACATGTACACCTGGAAGCATTTGAATTTCCAATACATTTTATTATTTGTTTCATATTTTGTAAAACTTTAATATTAAGAAAAAATAGAAAAATATTTGCCAAGACTTGCCAAGACAGTGCGTCGAGATTTCTAAACATATGCTGTTCTTAAAAAGTATGTGATTTTTATGTTGAACTGTATGTGCGTAAGTGTGTTGATCTGTATGTGTGAAAGCAAGAAAATGATACTTAATAATAAAGCTTGAAAGGTACAAAAAATTGTTAGCAGGAGTCAGTATAACAGCTGATTGGTAAAATGCGAGCTCAAAGAGAGCGTAAAAAATCTTAACAAACCCTTTTGGGCAACTTCTAAAATCTGAAACATTTCAGATTTTTTTTTTCTTCCTAATTAAGTTTCATTACTAGGGTGATGTCATCTAAATGTCTTGGAAAATCTTTAGATGTTTCCGTTTCATAAGATGTTTGGCATGACGTTACTATCCTCACAAAGAGCTAAACAACTAGTAATGAAATATATCTTTGGGCACATAATCTACCTTTCGTCGCTGGCGTTTAAAGTGTACATGGTAGAAACTCTGAAAACAACACACTTATGTGCGTCTATATTTTAACTTTATTTATATTTCAGGTATAAAACTAAAAGTGTTATGATTTATAATATATCTAACTGATATTGTTTACAAATAGTTATGCCCAGACGTTTCTTATCCTGTGCATTTTGTATATCGGTTGCACGCCTCTTCACAAACAGTTTGCTGCATTTTTATTGCACTTTTAGTATGCTTAATTTTAAAATGCTCTAGAATCCCTCTTGTATCAAATGAATTCTTCATCATTTTAGCATTTCTTGAGAGGATTGCGCAACATAACTAAAATTATGGAACCCTAGTACGCGACAAAACAATTCAGAACTTACCTTGAATGTTTAGGGATCCAAAATTCCAAATAAAACTGACCTCTTCTAGAAACTTTTTCCAAAGAATAGTCTGCTAACAATCACCACACAGCACAAAGTTACAAACGCGTCTATCCGCTCCTCACACTGACCTTGCACTCTCTTACCGGTCGCAGTTAACTTTCGCTTCTGGACGAACGATTCAGCGTTCTTCCTCTCATGAGGTTCTGGTTCAACAACACTGCAAGGTCATTGCCACCACCAGGAACCCGAAAGGCAAGTCGAACATCACTTGTCGTCAGACGATAGTAAGCCTTCCTTTTTGCACCGGAAAGAATACAAGCAGAGATCACGGTTATGGTGAGGTGTGCATTAAATCAGTCTTTTTTTAACACCCTGGGTGTTATTGTTTCCAGGTGGGGATGAAATATTAGCTAGGATTAAGTTTCGGTAGCTGTTTCAATACCGTAGCCGAGAGTAATGAAGTGAGGTCTCCGTTGTCCGAATACCGATTAACCGAACATTAAATATTTGAACAGTGATTAACCGGAATATCATTTACCCGATTTTCATAAGACTAATATGGTACAGATAGAAGCCTCACTTTTATTTAAATTTAAGGTCAGGCCTAAATTCAAAGCGAATACTGTAACATCTAATTTATTATTTAAAATATTTTCTTATCTCGAAAACATTGGCGCGCACTGGCTTGTAATAGACGGATTCGAGGTTCCTTCAAGCCTCTCTCTTTAACACAAGCCTTTCGAAAGAACTTTTAAGTATTTTAAGTGCTCCCGGGCCGTGCAAAACGTATTGACTTCCAAGCCTTCTCTGATATTTGAGCCCGGGCGCAGCTATACGGAAGCCAGCAACTTAAACACTTTACTAATCAAATATTTTTTTAATAAATTAAATAATAATTATTTACGTAATTAATTATTTACGTAATTTTTAATAAATTAAATAAACAGTATCAAACACTCGAAATTAAATCTTAATCTTTAAAGTGTATAAAAAGAATTTCAATTTCAAAAGCTGCGTTTGCTTCTGCACATCTTTTTTTTTCCCAAGTAAAATAATATGAACAGAAAAAAAAAAAAACACTAATGAGGAAGGATTAATATGATGAAGATTAAGAAAAGAGCTATCTGAAGACTTCACATTAAAGTTAAACACTTGAAAAAAAGGTAAGTTTTTCAAAAGGGTATTTGAAAAATTAAAAGTTGCAAAATATTTTAAGAACTCCATAAAATGTTCCTAAAATTTTAAGATTGTAAATGGTAATGACATTAAAAGATCACAGTCCTTTCTGGACCAAAACGATAGTTCAGTTCAAAAACTGAAGATTTATAATATTTCTGATCCCTAATTTTATGAAAATCTGCAATTCTGTTTCCAATTTGTAACAGATTTTATTAATTCCGTGCGTTACATAATTGATTCAGAACACTTTTATTAATATTTATGTCCTTTTACACTTTTGTAAAGGCAAATCCTTCTTTGAGATGATACATTTTAATCTGAAGACTTTAGATGTAATTGTCTTGCCTAGCTGCAACACGTGTAATTTATTCGTACGGACGTTCTTCAGTATTCATTAAGTTTAATCGCTCCAGTCGATCATTGAATTCTTCTATAAAAACAGAAGAAAAGAAACAATGGACAGTTAAGCTAACATCAATACTGCCCATATAGATTGAAAAATAGATATCCGTACCAAAAATTATATAAATATAATGAGAAAATACAAACATAAAACTGAACTGATGTATATTTCTTTCTCCGTATTGAAATATTAAACAATAAAATCCTTTCATGCAGTGAACAGAATAAAATTGTTTCAAACATTTGTCACCGTTCCAATCATATTCGGAGCATAATTAAAAATGCTTATACAAAGGGGCTGTAGTACTTATTATAGCTTTATGTAGTAATCGCAATAATTCATTTTGTTGTTTGTAGAGCACCTAAAGTATAGAAACCTTGGACTGGAACTACTGATTAAAAACATAATTTATAGTTTATTATAAAATCGTTAAACTTCTTTGAAATTACACTAACTAGTCTCATTAATATCATTACATGTTTTTCCATTTTTATAATAATAAACATTTTTGGTGGCTGTGTAAGCGGCTAGTATTAACAACAAAAGTAAAATGAAGATTTGAATTATTGCGTTTTTAATTTTAAACTGAACGTTTTTAAAACCTGAGCAGTAAAGAAATTCAATGAAAGATCTTATGCTTACCGATTAGGAACTTTTTGAAAACCACCTATACACGAGAACATATGGATTATCAATTAAAGGCCGTATGTTTGACGGCGGGGTTACATTTGCCAGTGAAACCGGAAGGACTGCTACCAAAATCTTTCAGTTTCTTTGGTTCATTGATAAGAATGGCCCTATTTAGAAAGAAGGAAAGAAAGGGACTTTTATAAATGTTTAACCCGTAGTTAAGGAATATGAGCATAGTTGAGGTCTTCCGACATATTCTGTAGAGAAAATAACACTCTTAATTATTTACGTCATATTCATTAACAAACTCAAGCGGCAACATTGTTCGAAGAAAATATTTTTATCTCCAGCGCGCGAGACTGTCTATCGGAATTCTAAAGGTATGCTGTTTTTAAATATTTTGCGATTTTGCTGTTGCAGTGAATTTTATGTTGCGTGATATTTAATAAACACGTTTTAAAAAAATCTGAAAGTTTTCAGATTATATATTACGACCAAAGGGGTGTTTCATTTAAGCACACTTACTCCTTTCTAGAACCGTTTCGAGAGCATTTTGGCTATCATTCCATTGAGCTAAAAATATTTAAAAACAACATATCTTTATAATTTTCGATAGATAGTCTCGCGCGTTCCAGATAAACATGTTTATTGCGTACAGTGTTGCCACATTGTTGTGTTAATTGAACAAAATTGGGCTAAAGTTTTTCAAAACGTAAAATACATAATAAAACAAATTCAAAATTCGCTGCCCATGTTCGGGTGCAGAACTATGTTATTCAAAAATTTCATGTGGTTCTTTGCTCTAGGTAACGTTGTTTTTTCACAGTGCGAGAAACAAACATACGTACATGTAGATTCTTTATTATTTAATTTCTTTAAATATAATATAGAGCGCTAATATTTGGTGGCAACAGTCTGAAAAATGATTCAACTCTTTTGGTAATTTAAAGCAAAATGCCATTTCCAGACTAATAGCCTTTCCGGGCTAAAGCCCGTTTGGGCTAAAAATATTAAAACTCAAAACAAAAAGGAAAAGTAAATGTTTTATAGACATCTTACTGAGAGGACTTATAAGGTATTTCTCCCGCCTTCTTAGCATGCGTTCGTGGTGTAGTTGTCAGCAACCTCGACGCGTATTCGAGAGGTCCGTGGTTCGAATCCCGGCGAGGGCATTGCTCATTTTTCATCTCTCCTGCTTTCAAAAAATTACTAATGTGGCGTAAATAATTAGTAAAAAATTACTAAATGGCGGCCGAACTTAAAAGGTGATGAATGATGATTCTTCACCTCCAGGATTTGTCGATCGGGTTCCCTAAACCCCAGTCGCCCTTTAGAAGGGGGTTATGTAAAGTATTTCTCCCGCCTTCTTAGCATGTATTCGTGGTGTAGTGGTCAGCGCGCTAGACGCATATTTGAGAGAACCGTGGTTCGAGTCCCGGCGATGGCATTGCTCGTTTTTTATCTCTCCTGCTACAAAAATTCCCAATGTCTCTACAAACTGACCATTGATATAATAAACTGAGAAAAGACTGAAAAAATAGAGAAGAAAAAAAGGGAGGAGGTGAAATCTGAAAGGTTTCAGATTTCAAATTACACGCAAAAAAGCGTTTTTTGTGTGTTACCTTTATTTATTAAATATCATGTTCTTCGCACTTAAACCACAAAATTCAGTTCGAGAGCAATATCGCAAAATAATTTTAAATTGAGCATATCTTTAGAATTTCCGATACACAGTCTCGCGCTGGAGATAAAAGTGTTTTTTCTATACAACGTTGCTTTTACTCGCATTGAAAGTTTATTCAGAAATTCTTTAAAGTTTAACAAAATATGAAATCGATAATAAAACGAATTCCAAATTTCAAATTTGGGCTTCCGCATGTCCATATTCACAGTAGGATTACGTCATTCAAAATTCGATGGCTGTAGCTACCGTTGTTTTATCACATAGTGCGAGAAACATACATGCATTTATGCAGCGTTTTCATTATTTAATTTCTCTAAATATAAAACAGGGCGATAACAAATGGTGGCAACGATTTGAAAAGTGATACAGCCTTTTAAAGTTTTCGACGCAAAATGCCAAAACGAAATCAATTCATGAAAATATTCATGAAATTAATTCATCAATTTAATTCATTAAAGTCATTCATGGCGAATTGCCGCTTTGGACTAAAAATGTATGCGAAGACTTAACATTTCATCGAGAATTCTAAACATAAGATTCTATACTGCTTTTAAAATTTTCGTGATTTTGCTGCTGAACTGCATAGGGCGGAATAGCAAAGAAAACCATGTTTAAGAGTAAAGATAAAAGAAAAGAAAAAGAAAAATGGTTAGTAGGAGTGACTGTAACAGCAGACTGGCAGACTGCGAGCTCAGCAGAAGTATAATAAACTTTAACAAACCCTTTTGGGCGACTGTTAAAATTTGAAACCTTTCAGATTTTTCTTAAATTATTATTTTAGATAGTAACAGATAAATTGCTAATTTCTGTCTTACTAGATAACTTAAAGTTTGATATCGACTTTCAGTGTTCAGATCTCCGTCTGTTAAACTCGGCTGCTTAATAAACTCAATTATACTTGAAACGGAAGGGATTTGAATAAAAGGCGGGTATTGTATATCGCTTTTTTTTTCCCCGTACGGAACTCAAGACGTTTTGTATTGCGCTTTTTATAACATTTTCCTAAACGTATTTTCCTTTTTACAACATTATAACATTTTCCTAAACGTAAGAACCGAGAAAATGTATAAAAAGTTTTCGAAAGTTTTATAATGTTTATATATTTATTTATCTGTTTATTTAAAAATGACAAAGCATGAATTTATGCATCATGTGAAACATTTTTTACAATTAGACGTATATATTAATAATCACGGTTTCGAACATAAAAAACCAGGTAAGAACTTTTGAGGATACGGTGTATATAAAACAATGCTTTTAC